AAAAAAAAAAAATACAAAAATACAAAAATACAAAAATAAAAAATAAAAAATAAATTTGACCATTTATTAAAGAACAAAAAGAAATAACTTAAACAGTAATGCTACAGTCCCGTTACAGAGTCATTCCGTCGGGACTTTTAACCGTTAGATCATCATGTAACCGTCGTGAATAGTTGATCTAACGGTTACAAACTCCGACAAATAGATCCGCAAGGGAACTTTTGCATCAAATGTAATCAGGAACAAGAATATCCATATCTTTTGATTACTAATTATAACATTGATTTTATGGTCTCAAACTTTTTTATTTTATTTTATTTTATTTTGTTTAACTAGCTAGGGATTGGAGAATAAAGGTGAAAGCTATGATTGTTATTAAAGCAAACACACGCTTGAAATTTATTAGTCTTTAATTAATTGGATCATTAATTCAACTGTGTTTATATATGGGCTATTATTAATATTAATTAGGTTAACCTAATTTGAGTATTCTATCCCATTCCAATGTCCCAATGGTATTAACTTTTGTACTCAAATTTATAGACAAAAATGTTCCTTTAATTGAGTGCACTCTGCTTATGTGAGTCAAACTAATTAGGTTTGATTATTATGACTAGTACAACGCCCGTGTATTACACGGGTGCTTGCTAATTTTTTTCTTAAAATCTAAAATTAATGAGAAAAAGTAGTTGAAAATTTAAATACCTTTTATAAAAATATATGTATTATTATATATTTAGTATGACACTTTTTATTTGTGCGACTTACATGTGTTATATTATAATAATTTTTTAACTTACAACATATAACTACATTAAACATAAATATATAAATTGAGAAATAATTTTATTTTTCTAATGAAATTTAGTAAATATTATTATTTTTTACTATTATAAAGATTAATATAATTTATTTATTTCATATATACAATATGGATGTCAAATCGAAGATAATCAAAAGATGATTAATTTGATATATTATATATGTAAAACCGATAAGAAATACAAAAGTTATCAACTTGTAAAATACATTTACAATTCAATAGTTAATTGTAGGAAACAAATCAAAAGTCAGGTATATATTAGTCGTAGTGCCTCACTAAGTAAAATTATAAATAATTAAAGGGTTATATTAGTACAAGTGATATTAAAATACCTAAGTTAGCTATATATATTTATGGAATGTCCGAACCTAGATTATTAATTATTAATATATCAATATTATTTGTCCAAACCTAATTACGAAGTATGATTCTTCGCCAAGTAGGATTCCGAAGCACCAGAAGCAGCCACGTAGGCTCAGCGTATTCGGGAATTATATATAAGAGGATTTGCCAAATTGATAAAAAAAACTCGGTTTCATTCAAATAAAGAGGTATTTTCATGTAACACCTAAAGTAAATGTAGTCAAATTCAAGCATACAACACATTTTAATACAATACATGTACTTTACGTACAATTCAGACTACGTTTGGTAGACAAATAAGCTAGCTTATAGCTTATTTGGTTAACTTATAAGTTTCTTGTATTTAAATAAGTTTTGTTTGGTAGGACGAACTTATTTAAAAAGCTCGAGTTTATCTCATAGGCATTTTATGGGTGTTTTTTCAAATAAGCTCGTTGAAAATTTTAATTCAGCTAGCTTATCAATTAATTTTACCAAAAAATTTTATCATATAAGCTAATTTTTCAGTTATAAGTCATAAACTATAAGTTATAAACTAAAAAATTAATGATACTATCAGCTAGCTTATCAAATAGTTTTACCAAACATAGTCTCAAATATCGAGAATGACTTGATATAGTTGGATTATTAAGATCGAATAAATTTTCATATTTTGTGGAGGTGATGTAAATCTAGCTTAATCAAGAAGGAACTAAAAAATATTGGTTGTAAAACAAAACAAAACAATGTTAATTGTTTCCTTTTTTTTTTTTCCTTTATTTATTATCAATGATCAACTCCTAGAGAGGTCTCCATTAGCTGAACATGATTAAAGTGGTTATTTAATTTTTAACTATACTTATTTTTCACACGATAAAGATGAAACAGACAAAATGTGTTGTAAGAAAAGAGAGGACAAATGAAGAGGTTGTCCACTTTTGCATTAACAATTTGTTATAAGGAAAAAAATGAAAAAAATAAATAAATAGATAAACAGCGTAGATAATATATAATGGATAGAGAATATTCGTAAATATTTTAAAGGCTACATTTTGTCAAGGGCTAAAAAAGATTTGGATTTTTACTAACAAGGGTTGACTCAAGTGGTAAGTAGTTTGATATCGCTTAAGCAAGGTCTCGGGTTCGAGTCTTTGTGAATGCAGAAAACTCTTGTTGGGAGACTCACCCATTATTGCCAGGTATGCGACCCGAGTCGACCAACTAATTAGTCGGGACAAAGTTCCGAATATCGTGATTGGCTACCAAAAAAAAAATTGAATTTTTCAAGTTCAAATAAACGATAAATAGGAAATCTCTTTGTAGATATTCGTTTGTTTTGACTCATGAATGTTACTATAGAGTTCGTGGATGTTGGACATATCGTAGTCACCAATCAGATAAACTAAATGAATTTGAATAAAATTATGTTTATTTGACTAAAAATTTGACATATATAAATGTTATGGGAAAATGTTACGGTCTCGTTACAGAACCATTTCGTCGGGATTTGTAACCGTTAGATCATCATGTAATCGTGATCGAACTACAGACCCCAACCGAATGGTTCCATAACGGGACCGTAGCATCTCCCATTAAATATATGACTTGTTGATTTTGAATTTGTGTGATGGATAAAACTACAAGATCTTTGATGTAGCATGATAACTTTTTAATATGCAAGACCTTTGTTTTTCCCTTTCCATTTATTGTATTTGTAGTCATAAAATGTTGGTAATAGCAATTCAATTGCATTTTTTTTTCATTGTTTTCTCTCCCTAAAATATTATGTTTATCCTTTTTGGGTAAAGAGGTTTTGGGCTTATAATTAGAGATTTGAACCTTAATGAGAGCTTTTGTGAAGAGAGGATAATATATTATTTACAAAATGTTATTTAAATGTAATTTTACTATTAATTGTATTTAGCACTAAATTAAAGTACTTAATTTACGACGAATATATTAGTTAACTATTAATATTACAGACACTTGTTTTCTTGAATTTCTTTATCACCATTTTACCATCTTTGCTGCTGGAATGACTTGGGTAACACCATAATCTCACTTAAAAAGCACACAAAATTCATCCTTTTTGTAAAATAAAAATAAAATTAAGTACTTAACCTCGATATAGTGTTGCAAAAGGAAACAAAATTTACTTGAATCTAGCACAATATTAAGATAATGTACAACAATTAAACCCAAGAAAAA